TCTCTCTATGTCGTTTGCTGGATAAACACGTGGCCCGGTTCTGGTGGGGAGCTGAGGAGGGCCATCCTAAGATTCGGTGGGTGTCCTGGCGTAATCTTTGCCGGAGTAAGCATGATGGAGGAATGGGGTTTCGTCGTTTTGAGCATTTTAATCAGGCCTTATTGGCGAAGATAGGCTGGCGGATTCTCAATGAACCTCAGTCCCTCCTGGCGCAGGTTTACAAAGGGAAGTACTTTCCGCAGGGAACTTTCATGCTGGCGACAGCTCGTTCCCGCCCTTCTTGGGGTTGGCAGAGCATCCTGTTTGGGCGCCAGTTGTTGGAGACGGGGTTAAGATGGCAAATCGGTAATGGCCGATCAGCCTCCCTTATCCATTCGAGCTGGATCCCAGGGCTTCAGCTGGATCCCCCTTGCTACAATCCTAGGGTCCTAGCTGATGGGCACGATCCCTTGGTGGCAGAGGTGATTAGGCAAGGAGAAGGGAGGTGGGCCGAAGAGAAGCTTAGTCAATGGTTTGATCCGTCTACCTGTCGGGCAATTATGGCTATTCCCCTGCCGCGGAGGAATGTTGAGGATAAGCTGATCTGGCATAGTACTCCTGACGGAGTGTTCTCGGTTAAGACGGCCTATCATTTGGCGGTTGAGCTTGATCGGAGGAAAGGTGAGTGGCGGGCTTCGGTCAGTTGGATGGATAGGCCAAGCTGGATCCGGCTGTGGGAAGCAAAGATTCCACCTAAGCTGAAGGTCTTTGTCTGGCAAATTCTTCATCGGGCTTTGCCAACCACTGAGGCTCTTATCGAGAAGAAGGTTCCTGTGTTGTCCCGCTGTCCGGTTTGTTGGGATGGGCCCGAAACGATGGAGCACATGTTTCTGTACTGTCCGGTAGCGAGGGCTCTCTGGGACTACTCAGGGTTGGACTATTTGGGGGAAGGTTTGCCTCGACACACGTTTCCGTTGTTTCTCAAGCGGCTGCTCGCCCTTGTCCATCACCCGACGATGTTTATGGCTGTGGTTGTCATCCTTTGGAGGATCTGGCGGTCGCAAAACTGGGTTGTCTTTGAAGGCAAGCAGTTTGGGATTCCGGCTTTAATGCGCCAATTTCACCAGCAGTATGAGGAATGGGTGGGGTTGCCTGTCAACAGACCGCCAAGGTTGGCCTGCCCGGCCGTTCAACAAGAGACCCAAGTGGAGGATTCTCGGTTGGTGTGCAGGTGGGATGGGGCCACTAGGCGGGGGTCCCATTCGGCTGGGGGGATGGTTCTGTTTGATCAAGGGTGGACGCTCCTTCGGGCTAAGGGTGTGCAGTTTGCGCTAATCGATGAACCTCTAGTAGTGGAGTTGCTTGTGCTTCGTGAGGCTATCCTCTGGTGTCTGGAGTACGGCTTGTCTGGTGTTAGGTTTGAGGGGGATGCGAAGGTCATTATTGACAAGATTAATCAGGCTGATACGCGCGACAGTCATCTGGGGGCTATACTAGAGGAGATTTGCCAGTATTTTCGGGCCCATCCAGGGTTTAGTGTGCGGTTTGTAGGTCGGGAGAACAATAGGGTAGCTCATTCGGTAGCTAGAAAGGCCCTCTCTTTGTACCCGTCTGTAAATCGTTCTTTTGATTTCAGCACCTGGCTGTTATCCAGGATGTAACTATCTCTTTGTTTCGATCAATATATCTTATCTTTTGACAAAAAAAAAATTAAGTTGTATATTTCTTAAATATATAAACAATTGGCATAATTCTAAAGATCGCATTGAACTCTTCTTTTTTTTTTTCCTTTCAAAAATCGAGTTGAATAAAGGGTGGTAACATGTGGTTTCGACTTTTTTTTAATAAATATATCAAAATGAATATTATTCTATAGAAAATTTTCCAAAATCCGAACTAAACTAGAGGATATACAAGTGATTAAAACTAGAGAAATTAAAATGGTTATGCATTTTATATGATTTTATGGAAAGTGAACGTTGTTCACGAATCTATCACAATTCTAGTCTTGTGGCTTAGGACTATTGTACATACACCTCGTCCGGAGAAACCTAACAATCGTAAGAAATTCCCACTATGATGGCTTGAACTACTATTTGCAAGAAACTAGTTCCGGTCTATGAACAATTTGAGAATTTTTTACGACAGAGAATTTTCGTCTTTTGACAGTAGAATATATGAATATGTGTTTCTTTTTACTACTCTCAAGTTTTACGTCATATTCGGAAGTTATCTTGGAAGAGGAAGGGGTCGAGAATGAGGGAGAAGGAAGTTTCGTAAAATGGGGGGAAAAAGAGTGACAATTATCTTTGTGTATGTCACATACTTAATAAGACCGAGGTTATATTTCTATCAGGTATTCTGATCACATTTATGAAGCATTGTACTCAGTTCTCTGGCGGGGAAACAATGGTGTCAATATTCAACTAGTTTTTTACCCGCCCGTTGGGCGGTGCATTATATTTGATTATTTTATAATTCATTATAGTATTCTAATTATTATTATTACTATTTATGTTTGTTGATTTAATATACATGAAATTGTAAATCTCACTTACCTTATTTAGGTAATGTTTCATACTTTTATACCTTTTTATTTATGAAAAATTTAATTCCATTAACCTCGTATATATAGTTAATTTAATTGTGTCATACTTTTATACCTTTTTTTATTGATTTAAAATTTTGTATCAAACTCAAAAAAGTGATAAAGAAGTTAAAAATTTAATGTAAAAAACGAAGAAGTAAGAATAAGAAAATATGATTCAATTAATATAAAAATAAGTGAAGAGCTTTTCATTTTCTTTCCCTTCTCCTATCTCGGTATATGATAATAGAGAATATTCCGATCTAGATCCCACGAATATCGTGTATTATCAGTTACACCTGCAATTATGGAATAATGATGAAACACATTAGCATCCACATCCATAAATCTTCTGCATACTCAATAATGTATTTTGTCAATGTTCTAGCAAAACCAACCACAAACAGAACTATCAGTTGTCACTAATTTATTAAAACTAGCAAACTAAACTGCATATAAACACAATTTATAATTTATAGAGAGCTACATATCTCCTAAAGGAAAAAATGGTGCTTTTTTACCTAATAACAACATAGACAAATAATGAAAGGTGCATACTTCAATACAACTCAAATCTTTCTATCTTGCAGATTCCTAATTTGTGAACTGAATCTATGCACTAATCAAAATAGTAGTTGGTAAGAAAACAATCATGTCAAAATCAAGCTTTAGTTAAGGATTTAATGAGGAAAATTCACCCTAATGGAAAAAAAAAACAAATGTCATTGCAAACGTGTAGAAATTGAAAAAAACATCAAAATACACAACCGATGAATCACCGTCATCATTTTCTTTCTTCTTCGCGACCTTTATAAACCCCCAATTATGTTCCCTTCTACTTATAATCCCTTTGCTACCTACTAATTACTAACCAAATCATCATCTTATAGCTAGCTAGTAGCATGTCAATCATGAACATAAGGAATATAATGAACAACCATCACAACTCTACTTTCCATTTCAACATCTAAGGAATCGGGTTGCAATAGGCATTTAAGGAAAAGATCAATTATTCAACCAAAGGACATATGCCCTAAGTCCAACCATTTATCATTTCTAATTATGTATTACCTATTTACATAAAAGTACATGAAGTAATAGAGAACATAAACAACTCTGTGAAAACGAAGAAGAAATACATTCGCTTCGAGTGGGAAAATTTACCATCTAGCATTTTTAATTTGGAAGAAATTAATAAAATAATGGAAAAAAGTGTGAGTAGTTTCCAGCTTCAGATCAAGGAGGAAGAGGGAGCAGTCGATAATCCTCGATTTGGTTCACCTCGTCTTTGCAATGATAAGATGAACTCCTTTCATCAACAGGCAATATCTGTTACTACTGCTCAAAATTTTGCCATCTAATCGTTGCCTCATGTACCTCCCTCCTCCTATTCTCCTACAAAGCAAAAAAAACTTCATATGCATTACCATTTCCTTCTCTATCTAATTTCTTATTTTCAACGTTGGATTTTATTTCTAGAGAGACAATCAAAATGCGAAAATGGTAGGGATAAATTAAAAGGTTGTACTCATAATTAATATGTTTTTCATTTAAACGGAATGAATAATAAGTGTTTAAAAAAATAACAATTATTGCTATGTTAAGTTTATCTTCAGACATTTTTCTATATAAATTATACTTGTTTTATTTTATAAGTATATTCATTAGAAAGAAGTGAGTGTTTGATAGCAAAAAATATATAGTCATATAGTTCATTTCTAAAAAGTGATTGATTGTCAAACGCTCATTTTCTCCTAGGCCATTGTTTAATTTTTTTAATTGAAAAATTATTATTATTCATATGTGTGCTTGTTTTTTTCATCAAAATGTAACTTATTATAAAGTTTTAGTAAAAATGAATAGAAAATTTACTTAATGAGATTTAAAAAGATATTAAACAAACACAATATATGTCACTATCTATTTTCATCTTTATAGTTTGTTTAATTAAAGAAAAGATTATTACTTATGTGTGTTTGTTTGTTCAAATGTTTCACAACAAATGTAACTTATTTTAAGTTTTAGTAAAAATGAGTAGAAGTATTAAAAGAAGAGAGATAGCTCCATAAATAGATCAACAAATAAATTTTTGTTTGTAAAAAAATTGTCCACATTGACATCTTGTGAATTCATCAAGTGTTTATGTGGCAAAAAGTTACTTTTGAATAGTCATAATATTAAGTATAGATATAGATAGATAGATATGCTCACAGAAAGAACCCAGAGATGGAATGATGAAGGTGATTGCATGGTGGTGGAGAACTTGACTGGGCTAATGGGCTTGGGCCTTTTGTAGCTAACGGCAAAGGAATGGCCTACTTGTAGGCCCAAGTTCGGCTTAACCCAATTAGAAAAGGAGCCCATAAAGCATCCATCTCCTGGTCCCGCAAAAATTGAAATTTGCAACGGATTTTATACCAATCAAAACGGAGCAAAAAATTCCCAACGCATCACCTTCCGATTCGCTCAGAGCCACAAAAAACCACCAAGCAAAGGCTCCTCCGCCGCGGAAAAATGGCTCCACCCTTTCCGCACTGTTGTTCGCTCCAGAGCAACACCTGTCTTCCAGGAGGAACAAGAGGGGAAATAAGGAAAGAAAAAGAAAATAGCTGCTGGGGAGGAGCAAAAATGGCGAAATTTACTCTCAAAGCTGAGAACTTTTGCTCTTTTCTTCCTCAAACTACTACCACGGTCAGGAAAGCCTCCAACTTTCGGGAGAATTCGGCCAGCGGTCGTCACCTTCAGCTGTCTCTGGCGAGACCCAGGTTTCGAGTCTCGTGTAGTATCAGAGAGAAAGAGGGTGTGAAAAAGGATGGGGACAAGGTTCCTGCTGTTGGTCCTTCTCATCAGGGTGTTAATGGAGTCCGAATCAGTGAGTCTGAACAGGGTGGAGGAGAAGTGGGGTTTGATTGGAATTGGCCGCCGTGGAAGAATCTTCCTGCGAGATATAAGCTTATTGGGACTACTTCACTTGCCTTTGTTATCTGCAACATGGATAAGGTGGGATGGTTAGCTTTTGTTTGAAGTGTGGTGAATGATGTCTAGTTCTTGGTTAAGTTGAACTGTGGATTTTGGTTTTTAATTGGTTCACCTTGTTGAGCAGGTTAATTTGAGCGTGGCTATAATTCCAATGTCAAACCAGTTCGGTTGGAATTCATCCACGGCTGGGTTAGTGCAATCCTCCTTCTTTTGGGGATATGCTTTGAGTCAGTTGCCTGGAGGTTGGCTTGCCAAGAGATTTGGTGGCAGGTAAGTTACTTGAAGTTTTGAGTTTCTAACTCTTGCTTTGCTCCTTGTTTATTTGTGATCTCTGATATCCATTCATGTTTAGACATGATGTGGTTTGAGGAATTAATGGTCCCCATTGTAAGTTGACTGGCTTATGAAGTGTGTTCCTATTCAAACTGTAACGTGATGGCTTCAATTAAACCCTGAAAGTAAAGGTGTCATCTTGTTGAAGTGTGCAACCTCTGGTCATTAGAACTTTGTGCACTTCGAATAATGCCTTGTCGTTCTGAGATTAATGGAACATTGGGAACACTGTGTTTTGCTCAGCTGAATGATTTGTTTTCCCTGTACAGAAAAGTTCTTGAGATCGGAGTGTTGACTTGGTCATTTGCTACAGCATTGGTCCCTTTGCTTGCCGGATTCATGCCTGGACTTGTTTTCACTAGGATTTTGGTGTGTTCCCTATTTCTTCTGAACTATTATATTTGAGTTTTAGCATTTGGTATAGTTGCTTGAATTCTCTAGCACAGAAACTTTTAGATTGATCTTTCACAACCGAATCAGTGTTGGAGAAATTGTTGTTTCACTTCTGGTGTCCTTCCTTTTCATGTTGATTATGTATGGTTCTCGTGTACCCATCTCTTTTTCTTATGCTTGTAATTCAGGTTGGTATAGGAGAAGGTGTTTCCCCATCAGCTGCAACCGACCTGATCGCCAGGCATGTTTCATGTGGAATTCACTAGGACCATGCTCCGGTTTAAAATTATAGATCACAATAAGGTTTATTCTGATCCTAATCTATGTTTCACTGGAGCAGGTCGATACCTCTACAAGAACGATCACGGGCAGTAGCATTCGTTTTCGGTGGACTGAGTGTGGGAAGCGTAGCAGGGTAAAACCTCTTTGACATGGATTTAGTTAAACTAGAAGTATTACTAGATCAAGTACAACTCTTACTAAAGTTTAAGTTCTCTTGTGATTAAAGGTGTGAATTATGTGTTGGAAATGTTTTGCTACCAGTCTGTAGTTCGCTATACTGAAGTAATTTAGTGGTCAATTGAATTTACCCTGCTAGTCGTGGCTAACTATGGAAGTTGAATACTTAATTATGTCTGACAATCTTTCAGGCTAATTTTGGCACCTGCACTCATTCAGCATTATGGATGGGAATCTGTATTTTACTTATTTGGCCTATTTGGAATAGCCTGGTAAGTGCACCTTCGTATTTAAGAATTCTTTTTGGGAATCTAGCTGATTAAGGACGAATTGTGTGTCACTGATGTCAGTGTTGTGCTTGTATAGGTTTGTAGGATTTCAGACTATGGTCGAACAAGAAGCTTCATATGCTGAACCTGCTGCAAGTGAGCTCGTAAACATTGTCAGTTAGCATTTTATTATGCATGTACGGGATTGGTGCTACTTGTATTACTGACAATGTTTAAGTATCACTAGGCACAGAAACTTTGGGGAAATCTGCTGATCCTATATTTATTTTGAAATAATGAGAATTATTCCTGGAGATCATCTTACAGGTGAATTTAACGTTTTTTCATAATGAATCAGATTCTTCAAATCACCAAGAGGAAAAATCACAGGGATCTTCTCTAGCCGAGCTTGATGAGTCGGTGAAGGTATGTTGAATGTTCTTGTATATTGTTGTGATGCCATAAAAATGTCTTGAGGCAGCTCTACCAATACATAGAAGATCAATTTATAATCTGGACGGAGCTTCAAATTTGTTCACTTTTTCTTAACTAAGACTGTTATTTCAAGCTCTTCTTCTCTCATGTCTCCCTCTTTATTTTATCTGTTATTTTTGAAACATCAGGATGTGCCATGGAGAGCAATTTTCAAGAGCCCAGCTGTATGGGCTATGATTTATGCCCACTTTTGTGGGAGTTGGGGCCACTATACCTGTTTGTCATGGCTCCCTACTTATTTCAGGTACGTTTTTTTTTTTGTTTACTATTGGTGATTATGTATGTTGATCACTTGGGCCTACAAACTTGAAATTCTGATTGCCAATTTCATGCAGCGAGGCACTGAACCTAAACTTGACTGAGGCTGCATGGGTAAGTTCCTTTTTACTGTTGTATCATTCTTTCAAGAACAATGTTGCAGATGTCCACTTATTGACCCACGTTATTGTATTCCATTATATTGTAGCAGCAAATAATCGGTTTCATTCATGCACAGGTCTCTCACTAAAGAACATGTATCTTGTCAAACATTTTCAGGTGTCAATTCTTCCTCCCTTGGCTTCAGTTTTCGTGACTAACCTCGCTGCACAGTTGGCGGACAAGTTGATTGCTAGTGGAGTTGAAACCACAACGGTATGCAGACGAAAGCAAAAACTCAGTAACTACTTTGTATAGCGTGAAATGCTACTAGTCTCTGGTCTCATAGTATATATGACTTAGTTTCCATGCAATTCCTTTGCAGGTACGGAAGTTTTGTCAAACAGTTGGTTTTCTGGCTCCTGCGCTTTGTATGATCCCTTCCGCTGTCGATTTAGGATTGCCCCCATGGGAAGTTGTGGGGATTCTCACTGCTGGCTTGGCCCTCTCAAGCTTTGCCTTGTCTGGTAAGCTGTTTAACTTTGACCAAAGAAAACCAGCAAGTAGTTGACTTGTCCTTCTTACGTTGTTTCTTTCTTTTCTGTAGGACTGTATTGTACTCACCAAGATATTTCCCCTGAATACGCAAGCATACTCCTGGTATAAACCTAGACCCTTAAGTTTAAATAGGTTAGGTGTTATAAAACATTGTCTTAGTAATCATTCGATTATTTTACATGCCGCAATGTGTGTCCGTTTTCATAATCTCAGGGTATAACCAGTACTTCTGGAGCTGTCCCTGGAATTGTTGGTGTTGCCTTGACTGGCTACTTGCTAGATACAACTCATTCATGGACTGTAAGTATCAAAATGTGACTGAATTTAGTTCTATAATTTCCCTTCTTCATTCCACTAACTTTATCTTTGTTCGTTTTGTTTGTATAAATCAGATATCGTTATTTGCACCATCCATCTTCTTCTACTTGACCGGCACGATTGTATGGTTGGTATTTGCCAGTAGTAAGCCACAAAATTTCTCCAGTTGAGGACATTGATTGTCTCCTCACGTATACTTAGTATAGGTATAGAATCGGTCTTTTCTCTGCCACTTTTTTTTGTCTAGATCACCTGAAGGTTGAGCAAGTGCTCTGTCAGCCAGCAACCAATATGTAGTACCATATCTTTGCATCTCAATGTTGTATCATTTGTACATTCTATTGAAAATCTGCATTGCCACAGACCTTCTTCAGATTTTGTCAAGGAACTTTCCATTATATTTTCACTTCACTGAAAATGAATGTAAAGAAAACAGATGCTTTATCCTATCTCTTATAATTTTCTTAATCAATCACTCTAGTGGAACCAAATTTCCAGTTCCCCAATGCTACTAGCTACCTACCTGCAAGCAGGAAGAATATATGGAATACGAGCAAACACAATCGAAAGAGGAGCTACTGATATCAGCTCCGAAGAATTTACAAGGGAAGGCTCGAAGGAAGGTATGTCCCCATTCGAATCTACACTTAAAATCTTCCCATTCAGTAGCATTGTTTGGCTGTGCAAGTCCCCATCTTTTGCTGTTAGATGGTACTCCTCTCTCATCATTGTTCCAATCTTCGAATGACGAGGAAGTCGAATGATACTGTATGACCTGTTATGCTTGGGCCACTTGCGGTTGTTAAGTCCCTGCTGTGTCAAGGTTCTATTGACACCTACATTGACTTCAAATGCTGTGCTGTTGTCCAGGTTGATCAGCAGCAGTGTAAACCGTTTCTGCAGAGCATGGTGCATTCCATATCAGAATGAAGATTTATTATTTGAATGTCATGAAGATGGAAGTGGAATAATACTTACAGAATACTTCGAGCAGTGAGCATATACACGTAGCTTGTTTGACCCAGAGAAGCTCGTTGACAAAGCATTTCGTCCCATCAACCGATGCCAAAGAAGAGCACTGCAGTGAAGAGATAGAGAAATACAAAGAGATTAAGTATCACCCTAGGAAATAAAGAGTCCATATTTGAGCGCTTCAAGTAGGGGTGTGCCACTGAATTTTGTCCGAGTCCTATGTCAATTCAGTCGACTTCTGCTCTGTGCATCGAACATGCACACCCCGAGCCTTAAGACACAAAAGTTATACCTGTAATAGTCAGGGTTGGGCACAAATGTGGCGGTGTTGAGCAGGCCGTAATTACCACCGATCAATGACTGTCTGCAGTATGTTTTTGTATCGTGTGAAGCTGCAAGTGCAAGCTGATCCAGATACCTGTTATGACACCAGCATTAATTCCCCAGACATGGAATCCATATCCCATATGAAATGCTCGTATTGTCACTTACCAAAAGCTATACACGAACGCATTGGAGACATGGTTGCGGCCACTGTTGTAAGCCCCACCAGATTCGCCAACCCATGCAGTCGCTGAGCTGCCAGCGCTCCTGAGGAGGCTCTGCAGACCTCTAAACGATCCAAGCACATTGTCAAGAACACTCGGGTCTAGAATCTTCTCCACGAGATTTGGATCGACTCCTGGGATATAGAAATGAAGTGTCACGAAACCTCAACTCTCCTGGAGGGTTGTTTTCGGAGTTAGCAGATATTGAAAGAGACTGAAGGGGTCATTCAATTACCTGGACCAAGATTGTAAATGTGGTGGGTGATGGCGTCCACTGAATTTCCTGCTTTTGTGATCAAAGTTCGGAACCAATTGGCGTCATAGAATCCACCTGGTGCCAGAACCAAGGGCTTTGGTTCAATCCCACTGTAAATATTCTCCACAATGTCATGCAGGGAGATCGTATCAGAAGCATACTGATCTGCTGCAACTTTGGTTCCCACTCCGCTTCCACTCAGCTCATTTCCTGCTCAGCCACGAAACCATAAAAGCCCATCTCTCAGCGAATCGATCAACAATTAGAAGCAGCACATTTCAACTTTTTTTGTTAGGCTGTGCTCTTACCAAGCTCCCAACCATGAATGGAGTAGTTATGTCTGACTGTATAGGTGATAAAAGATTGAGCATTTGAGTAGTTCCAAGCTCCAGCTGCAGAACCATCACGCTGAATGGTCCTTCCCATTAGAGCATTCAGTCCAAATATAATCTTAGCCCTGGAGACAAATCACAAAAGTGGTTCAGCATTTGAAAGTTTCAACCTTTCTGCAATGCCAAGGAATGGAAAAAGTGAGCCACTTTTGGACTTAATTACCCTGATTTGCTGAAGAAGGCATTCAATTCATCCCATCTGTACATGGGCAAACAGCCTTGAGTGAAAGTGAAAAGCTCACTTGTGTTCTTGACGAATTGAACACAAGGCTGGTGGTTGTCTGGTGTGTCGTATATGACCTTGTCCTGTAACGTCCCTCCCAACCTGATCTTCAATGGTGAAAAGGCTGCACCATAAAAATTGAATGTGAGAACAAAAGAACAAGAAGGAATAAAAAAAAAAGTTCTCAGCTTATTGCCATAAATCAAAACTCTGGTTTTGCTAATACCTTGTATTGCCTTCAACAGAATTTGGTTACTGAGATCCTGCAACCAAAATGCACAAACAACAGCACATTCAAACACTGTTGATTGACCCCAAAAGTTTATTTTGACCTCTCTCTTGTCTCATTGGTCACATGTCAAACAAGGATTCCAACTTAAAAATAAGGAAATGAGTGAAGAAAAGAAAGAACAAAGCTGCGAACTTTGCAGAGAAACCATGGAAACATTCAACATCGAAGAACATCAATGACATTAAGCAGAGGAAGAAGAACATACGAGGTTGATAAGGGAAGCATGGCCCCAAGCGCAAGTCCCATAGTCGCATTTCTCAGGAGGCCACCAATCCAAAGTGGCACAAATGAAATCTTCATCAGTTCTTCCAATGGTGGTGTCCCCATCCACCACCACAGTCCCTTGAACACTAGCAGTGTCATTATTCTTATTATTCCCGCCTTGCGAGTACACTGAAACAAAGCTGCAGCTTAGAACACAGAACAGAACAACCAAAATCTGAGAACCCATATCCCCTTTCCCTCCAGAAGAGCTCTGAAACAACTCAAGATCTGAGCTTTACAATAGAAATGGGCAAGGCAGCCATGAAAGTACAGTGCGGGGAGGGAAAGAAAGTGTGGTGGTGGATGAAGAGGAAGATCCAAATGGTTCGCAAGAGGGAGATTTAAATGGAGACGTGTGTGGAGATTGAATTGAAGTACAGCCAGCTAACTAACTAATAAGCCCTCGCATTTCACTTCATTTCTTTCTTTCTTTCTACTTGCCCTCGAAGCCCAGCCGTGGGTCAGGGGAAAAAACAGGGGAAAGGGGGAAAAGGGAGCCAGCAGAAAAGAAAGGAAAAGCGAAATGGGAAAGAGATATTTGGTGGGTGGCCTGTTCAAAAAGAAAAGGATATTTGGTTGGGAAAATGGAGTAATATTACTGCAAAAACACAAATTACAGAGGAAAAAATGCAAGAAAGAAAGAAAGAATCCTTTTTTTCCTCTCTGTTTTGTGGGTTAGCTTGGGGCTCTCTAGTGGGTTGGAATGGTAATGGAGAAAATGGATTCTGGTCGACCAAAGGTGGGACCTTTGTCGCCGGTTTTGCTTTGCTTACTGAAAGCAAGCAACTAGAGGTAAGCAATCAGACAAAAGATGATTACAGAGTGAAAACTAGTCTAAAAGGGAAGCGTTGAAGCCTGAAGCAAGGAAGAAAAGTATGGAAAAACAGGGGAAGGGCCCATTTTTGCCCCCATTTCTGGAAGTTTTCACGAGGGTTTTCTGGGTGATTGAATGACCCACTTGCCTGAGAGAGATTAATATATTTTAATGGATTGGAGTCGGTAACTGGGGAGGATAGATGGACCCGACCCGACCCACTATCCGGAGTTAGATGCTGAGGATTTAGTACTAGGGTTTTAGGAGGATTAGTGGATTGGAGGGACTTGGTTTGTTTGTATCTCAAGTTCCAAACCCTTGCTATCTGATGAACCACAAGCGGCACGGGTTTGTCCAGCCCAGGATCACCAGCCCGGCCCACTACGACGATCAGCCCGAGGTCGTCAACCCAACCCCCGCTACAGCCGCGAGTAATCCACTTCTAGAGAATCAGTTACGTTGCTGCTTGCCAGTAGACTAGGATTTACTTTAGCATTATTTTGGGATATTGGTTTGAATGGGTCTTTTAAGTTTGTTAGCAGCAGAATAATCTCGTTCCACAATAGGTGGGGCATGTAGAGTAGTGTCCAGCAAGGTGAGCTTATTTGTAGGGGTTATTGTTTCAGTTTGGATGGCTTTATAAGCTGGTTACGTCAATGGAATAAGCAAGCAGAATTTGAGTAAAGAAAACCCTGGTAACCTCTCGCCAAGAAAGGAGAGAACTGGCTCAATCCCGCCAAGAAAGTGGATCAATCCATTCATACAATTTCAGCCCTTATCATTTGGTATCAGAGCCCGACATGGGCACCCACGCACAACGACTCGAGGCTCTCGAAGCCGTTGAGACTAGCAACCAACAGAACTTCCAAGCCATTCAAGATCAGCTGGCCGCACTTCAACTCGCCATGACCCAGCTCGCTCAAGCCACTGCTGCCAAGAACGCTACTCCTCCGTCCGAGGAGGGGGATAGGTCCATAAACGGCGCCTCTTACCACGCGAATCCCGACGACCGCGGCAAGCAACCATTCTTCGGCGCGAAACTCGCTCGCCTCGAGTTTCCATCTTTCTCCGGTGACGATCCGACGGTCTGGTTCTCCAGGGTGGAACAATTCTTCGAGTTTCAAGAGATCCCGGAAGAACAGAAAGTTACTCTTGCATCCTACCACCTGGAAGGCGACGCAAATCAGTGGTGGCAATGGCTCCGACGGAACTACCAAACGGAGGGCCTCACTATCACGTGGGACGTATTCTCGTCGGAACTCTGGGCTCGATTCGGCGGCACAGCAGGTACCGGCTTCGATGAAGCACTCTCCCGCATCCGTCAAACGGGTACTTTGAAAGATTACCTCACCGACTTCGAACGGTTAGGCAATCGTGTTCACGGATGGACTCAGCAGGCTCTCGTGGGAACCTTCCTCGGTGGCCTCAAACCCGCCATCGCCGATGGGATCCGGATTTTCAATCCCAAATCCATGAAAGACGCCATTAGCTTAGCGCGTGCACGTGAAGAGCAGCTGACTCGCCACAATAGTCCACCAAGACAGCCGCTTCGAACAGCCATGGACTACACGACCCCTCCGCGACCCAAACCGCGTTCGACATTCGACGCGTCCTTCATTCCCCGAACTCGGCCAATCCAAACCTTCGACGGCGGGCCGAACCAGCATCCACCAGCGCCTCCGGCGGGCACTAATCTCCGACCACGTCCGCCGGGATCCAAACGCATCAGTCATGAGGAAATGCACAGGCGTAGACAATTGGGATTATGTTTCAATTGTGATGCTCCCTACTCCGCTACCCACCGTTGCCAAGGGGGGAAACTCTGGATGATGTGGAACGACGAGGATGATGAAGAAGTAGAGGAAGCTGAAGTTTCTTTCCATGCTATCACGGGACTAACCAGTGGACGAACGCTTCGCGTTTGGGCTGAGGTACAAGGCACCCGTTTGTTAGTCCTCATCGACAGCGGCTCGACGCATAACTTTATCAGCACAAGAGCGACAGAGCTACTCCACCTACCCGTTGCGTCTATACCGGCGATCCACGTCAAGATAGCGGACGGGACTCCTCTCAAGTGCATCGGCAAGATCAATCAAATTCCACTCCACATTCAAGGTAGCGAGTTTACAGTGGATTTGCACACCATTCCCATCTCTGGAATTGACATAGTTCTTGGGGTTCAATGGCTCGCAACTCTGGGAACCATACAAAGCAACTGGCACACCTTGGAAATGGAATTCTTCTTGAAGGGTGAACTCAGGAGAATCAGGGGTATCCAACGCATGACACCATAGGGAGCTAGCCTGGAGAGTATAATTAAAGAGGACCATACTCTCATGGCCATATGCGTACCATTTGCCATTACTGACTCCCTCCAAGGCGTACCTTCGGAGCTTCAAGCACTCATTCGTGAGTTCGGCGACCTCTTCGACGAGCCACATCAACTGCCACCACAGCGTGCCATCGATCACACAATTCCCTTGAAGCAGGGAGCCGAAGCAGTCAATGTTCGACCATACCGCTACGCACATTTTCAAAAGGCAGAAATAGAAGCTCAAGTGAATCACATGCTTGCAGCGGGTCTCATTCGACCATCCACAAGCCCATTTTCTTCCCCGGTGCTCCTCGTCAAGAAGAAAGACGGCACATGGCGCTTCTGTACGGACTACCGTGCGTTAAATCTCGTCACCATCAAGGATCGTTTTCCCATCCCAACCGTCGATGACATGTTGGACGAATTGCATGGTGCGGCTCACTTCACGAAGCTTGATTTACGCGCCGGGTACCACCAAGTCCGAATGAACACAGCTGATATTCACAAAACCGCCTTTCGTACCCACAACGGTCACTATGAGTACTTGGTGATGCCGTTTGGCCTCTGCAACGCGCCCTCAACATTCCAAGCCATTATGAACGAGATCTTTCGGCCGCTTCTTCGCAAATCGGTGCTGGTGTTCTTTGACGACATTCTCATCTACAGCCCGGACAAGGAAACACATCTCACCCATGTCCGACAGGTATTCCAAATCCTACGACATCATCAATTCTACATCAAATTTAGCAAGTGTGCGTTTGGAATGTCCGAAATTGAGTACTTGGGGCATTTCATTTCGGCTGGCGGCGTGAAAGCAGACCCACGCAAGATTGCAGCCATGGTTGATTGGCCCACCCCCACCAATTGCACCGAATTACGTGGGTTCCTCGGGCTCACCGGTTACTATCGTAAGTTCGTCCGCAACTACGGCATCATCGCCCGGGCTCTCACCAATCTCCTCAAGAAGGGACAGTTTGAATGGTCCGTCGCCGCGGATGCATCTTTTCGCGATCTCAAGCAGGCGATGACCACCACGCCCGTCCTGGCCCTTCCCGACTTCACTCAACTGTTCGTCGTAGAGACGGATGCGTCCGGTACCGGCATCGGAGCTGTACTGATGCAACAGGAACGCCCCATCGCCTTTTTCAGTCGTGGTTTGGGCAAATCAAAGGAAAACCTGTCTACGTACGCAAAGGAGATGCTTGCGGTGGTCACGGCGGTTCGGGCTTGGCGTCCGTATCTTTTGGGCCGTAAATTCATCATACGCACGGACCAAAAGAGTTTACGGCATGTATTGGGCCAACGTATCACAACTCCCGACCAGCAGCAATGGATTTCTAAACTCTTGGGCTACGACTTTGACATCGTCTACAAGCCTGGGCCCGAAAACAAGGCGGCCGATGCTCTTAGCCGCCGCCCTCAAGATGTGGCCGAAGTGCTCTCTCTCTCCATGCCCTACACGTCTCTGTGGGAGGCCCTCAAAACCACAGCAGCTACGCATCCCTATATGATCCAGGCTCGGCAGAAGGCAACCTCTCCACATCCGGGATATTTCTCCCTTCACAACGACATGCTTCTTCGTCGGGGAAGAATCGTGATCCCACCCAACTCTTCCCACGTTGCCCAACTCCTCCATGAGTTCCACGCCACACCAATGGGGGGTCACTCTGGCGTTGAGCGCACCTACAAACGCTTGGCATCCCAGTTCTATTGGCCGGCGATGCTCGAAGACGTGCGACGTTTCGTTCGGGCATGTGATGTGTGCCAACGTGCCAAGTCTCAATCCCTAGCCCCGGCGGGCCTCTTACAGCCACTCCCGATCCCGACCCAAGTTTGGCAAGACATCTCGATGGACTTCATCGACGGTCTCCCTTCTTCCGGCGGTAAGACAGTCATCTTCGTCGTCGTTGATCGCCTCACCAAGGCAGCTCATTTCATCCCTTTGTCTCACCCGTACACGGCTCGTTCCGTGGCTGATGCTTTCCTCAAGGCAGCTCATTTCATCCCTTCTTGATCGCAATGCAATTCTCTCCGACCTCCACACCAATCTATCAGCCGCTCGGAATCGCATGAAACAGCAGGCAGATGCTGGCCGTCGCGACGTCACATTCCACGTCGGGGATCCTGTATACCTCAAGCTACATCCGTATCGCCAGCATTCTGTTTTTCGTCGTGCCTCTCAGAAGCTCGCCTGCCGTTACTTCGGGCCCTATCAAGTCATGGAGCGCATTGGCCCGGTCGCATATCGCCTCGCTCTTCCCTCGGGCAGTCGGGTCCATCCCGTGTTTCACGTCTCCCTGCTG